ACACACACACACACACACACACACACACACACACACACACACACACACACACACACACACACACACACACACACACAGCCAAATCCTCCAGCCTCCTTGTGAGGACAAAAATGGGCTGTGTAGTCATGATGCCGATTGTTAATCACATCTCACGTCTGTATTAATGTTTCATTCCTCGACTCATCTCTAGTTTTGCATCATGTGACCAATGCAACTGCCTGTCACTCACCTTTACGTACTGATTTTGCAGTTCGCTGAAGCAACAAAGTCGCACGTCCTTGGTTTCCGAATGCTTCACACTACCTCCGCTTTGTCATCGCGCACGCTTGATGAGCAGCTTAATTTCAAGGAATTATTATCCTGTTGTCTCTAAACTGCAATGACAGCCTCATCACATTTAACCGTGAGTCCTTGAAGGAGCAGTCGGGACAGAGGCAGGGAGCCAGAGTGCATTCTGCCGCAGCCGAGAGAGATGATTTAAAAATGTTGGTTGAAATAATGCGCTTCATGATTCACACGGATGCCATCAATGCATGAATAATGTATTCCTGCATTACTAACCCTAACCCCATTAACTTTCTACCTTCAGCACAGCGCCCCCTCTTCTTTCTTCACTCATAAACTCATCTTCTCTTTTGCTCCTGCTACTTCTGAGAGCAGGGATTTGTTTTGCAAAGTGAGGTAGCATAAAACATTTCACACACTCTACACAAAAAAAATTATTCTTGGCTCTCATATAACATGAGACAACAATTTTGATTAAAAGGCAGCCAAAAATATAAAAAATCATTAATCATTAAGAAAAACATATTTTGTATAAACCGATTGTATACCAGTCAAGTAAATTTCATTTGGCCAGAGTCAGTTAAAGTTTTACAGTGTACTTATGTAACAAAATTACACTGAAAATTTACATCTAATCAGATTACTTAAAGTCAGTGTTATAAGATTTTATCAACATTTAGGGTATAAATGTTGAAAGGTACAGATGAGTTTTAACGTTGTAGTTAGTCACAGTTTATTGGTGTAGTTGGGTACTTTTTTTCCCCCACTGCTGATGGCTGTTTCCCGCTTTATTAATACTAGACAAAGACATTTACAGGTTATCTTTGAGTCTAAAAGCAACTTAAATCATCTCATCGAAACACCAGGGGATCTAAATGTAACGTTAAATCCATAAATTAACATTATTATATTTTAAATTTTTGTCTTATTAAGGGTTTATCTGTTCAAAACTCCCGGCCTGGTGCGTGTTTTCACTAACAAGGTGTATTCATGTAAACCTAATATTTTCACTTACACCCACTCAGTAAACACTGTCTTGTTCAGATTGGTTGGTTTATAAATAAGTAAGTCTGTAAGTCACGACAGAGTAACTGAACAGAAAATCATGAGACTCCCTCACAGTATACACATGTGTAATTGCACATTAATAATATTACCATATCATGCCTATTCTGTGATAAAGACCGTCATGCTTGATCAGCACAGGTGGGTGTTATTGTTGTGCTACTTTGTACTTTATAAAAATGTAGAGCTGTTAAATCCTGTTAATCTCTGTCATGGGTGACTTTCCAGAGCAACACCAGACAATTCACACGCACTGTTTGTGTTACACTTTACTGTTTAACTTTACTGTAAAAGGCACATGCTATTCCAATAATGGGCTCAACTTGAAGCAATATAACAACATACAAAGTAAGTAAGACTTGAAAACAGATGCTTTAATGCTTTAACACAGAATCTATTTAGACGTTTGCAGAACAATCCCATGGAAAAGTAAACTCACTTTTTTTCTTGCTTTAAATCAATTAGGTTGAAGATTAACTAATGTAATAATTTAACTAATTGAATGTAATTTCCAAGTGGACATACTTTATAAACCTTTTAATTTTCTAATTTAAAATTTTACTTGATTTAAAGCCTGTTACTCGAGGCACACTGTGAGACCGATAGGAGGTAAATCTCTGCAAGCATATCAATTTTGTCAACTAAGAGGTTCTCTTGGGAGGATTATGTCAGCTGGACAATAGGGGCAGGATGGACAGTGCTAGAAGCAGTGAGGAGTTGGGAATGTTGAGTGTGGGGTTTTGTAAAGCCTTAAAAATAAAGGCTTTTTGGGGTTATAGTGCTGTTAAATGCTTCTAAAATGCCTGCCACCCACTCCTCCACATCTATGCCCCAGGTAAAGTGTTAAGAAGCGCTATTATCTCATATTTTGTGGCGTACCCAGGCTTAAATGCTCTGCAGACAAGCTGTCCCTGTGGAAATAGACGCTATCCTGCCTTTTAATTGCCCCCTAAATGCTTGTCCAGAGTCTCATACTACCCATAACATCTCTGATTTGAAGCTTCTGATTAATCCCCCCGTAGCTTTGATTTCATGCTTATATTAGTGTTTAGATGGTTGCCATGGGAAACCCAGTGGGGCCGTGTGCCTCTAATGAAAGAAATCACTTGGCTGGGCATGCACTTCACAGCACTGCTGCACTGGCTGGCTCCCTGCATGCTTTTAACTCTTTCAGCTTGGCTGGTCCCTCATGGAAATATATCAAACCTGACTGAAACGCGATCATTTTCTGCATCTCTCATCTTTCTTTCTTTCATTTTCTCCTGCTCCGTTTCCTTTTACAGTAGTGCTTCAGATATTGCCACTGTGAATGTAAATGGTGAATTATATTAAGCATGGAAAGAGTAAGAGCAAGGCTCATGAATCTGTGGAACACAATCAGTGTCAATGTCGGTCCCACTTCTGTCACAGTCTGCATGCATATTGTCAGGATGATGAAGGATATATCTGCCATAGGTGGTTACTCAGGGCTCTGTTGCAGTGTGTGCTATAGTCTTTGAGTGGAGTAGGCTCTCATACAGATGAGCCTCACAGTTGTAGCCCATTAAGGGATCATCAGTCTGGAAAGCCACCGCTGTTCAGACTCGCTGGGAGCGAATTGAACAAAGTCATCTGACCAGACTCTCTGCTCCAAGCCTGATGCTCATCACAAAAACAGCAATAAAACTGTGAGCACCCAGCAACGATGGCTGCTATTTTTCGCTCACAGAATGTGCAGCACTGTACTGAGGTTACAGCTCTATGGCACTACAGCCAGAGAGCTCACACTTAATTAAAGAGATGATAACTAAAGTGTGTAATTAGCTATTTTCGCACAGTGGGTTCTGAGATCATAAGTAATGTTTGGAGCCGCAATACTGTCATGGCTAAATCCTTTGTAGAGCTATGTCATGTTTATAGCTGAAGATAAACAAATCCTGAGCTCATTGTCATTCTGCAGTGAACAGTCTATGGAGTTTATGAGTTGTTCAATTGTAACATATAATATGATCGCTTCTATTCCTGCCACTCCATTCCTGCCATGCCATTAAAACCACTGAGAGGTTAAGTGAACCTAATTGATTATTGCGTTGCAATGTAATGTTCTGAAACCTTGGTGCCTTGCATTCTTGTGGATATTATTTACCATTGCTGTCAGCACCTTCTAATGGTGGCTGCATCCCCTATCAGGACAACATGGCACATCATACCACAAAACCACACCGGAAGAACAAGAGGAACACAAAAAATAAAGAAAAAATAAAATAAAACCAGGTAGTAACTTTGACTCACTAACTACAGGGATCACAATGGAGTCATGCACAAATGGCATGCTTAAACTTGGTCTATGCACACACAACCCCCAGTACTATTGGTGCACCTAGAAATGGTATTTGGAGTTTATTTTTTAAAAAATTATAGTGATATTATACAAAACAATTTTTGAAGATTTACCAAAACATAATGTGAAGATGTGTCTGTAGATGGCCTGGTCAATCTATGTTCCAGTCCTCTCCTTTATATGTATATATCTGAATTACCCCTAAAAGAATAACACTGTATAAAAGCAGCAGAAATTAGCTTCTTCTGAAGGGCTTAGCCTTCTAGGTAGCATGCAAGTTATTCTGAAGGGGCTAGAGCTGCTATTCTATATTGAATGAAGCCAGCTGAGGTGGTTTTATGTCTAGGATCCCTTCTGTGACAAAGGCAACCGAGGAGGTTGCTTTTGGCTCCCATGTGGTTATCTCTGCTTAGACTGCCGCCGCTGTGATCTGGACCACAATGAAAAGTAGAGGATGGATGGATGGATGGAACCATGGCTACTATGTTTTTTGTGTGTTTCCAGATTCTTGTTGGAGAGCTGTGCGCCTTCTTCACCAAGGCAGAGGGAACCCAGGAGAAGACCATTGTGACTGCAGACTGCTGCTACTTCAACCCCTTACTGAGACGCATAATACGCTTCTTGGGTGAGCATGCTGTAGTGTATTCCACAGTCCCTTTTTCAGGCTTTTGAAGTGACACATCTAAATCTTTCTAACCATTTTCATATATAAACTGTGGACAGTGTCAGGTCACGATGACCCATTCCTCCAAAAGGATGGAAGCTCGGTGCAGTGTGCAGGTAGCTGGAGTTGTAACAAACACTTGTAATGAATTCTCTTTACCTGTTGTATTCTGACACTGACTTGTTTAAACATCACATAGACTTTGAGGTACTGGGCAATGCTTAGTCATTTTCAACAAAGTAATGTATTACTTTTCTTAAAAGTGCATCCGGAAAATATTCACAGCACTTCACTTGGTCCACATTTTGCGGCGTGTGACCATTAGTAACAAAGGCACCAAGCACTGGGCATGGTGGTGGCAGGATCATGCTGTGGGGATGTTTTTAAGCAGCAGGAACTGAGAACTAGTCAGGGTTGAGGGAAAGATGAACATGGAGTGCAGCAATGTACAGAGACGTCCATGATGATATACAGCTCCAGAGCACTCTTGGCTTCAGGACTGGGGTGAAGGTTCATTTTCCAACAGGACAACTACCCTAAGCACACAGCCACTGGGTGTATTTTTTCTATTTTTTGCGGTAGTTCTGCAAAGAAGAAACTGCCCTAAAAATAGGTATGCCATGCTTGTAGCATCACATTCCAAAAGACTTGAGACTGTAATTGCTGTATAATATAATGGAACAAGGCTTTACATGACACAATGTGGAACAAGTGAAGCACTGTGAGAACATTCTGGATGAACTTTAATCTACTTTGTTTCTTAATTACTCAGCATTGAAAAACAGCCTAAAGAGAGTTTAAAGTGATTTCCACAGTTCTACTTGTTCATGTTCTACTATAGAAACATGAACAGGTAGAAATTAATGCTACAATGCTGCAAGACTGACTGCTCATCGCTGCTTTCGTTACCTGGGCAAGACTAAACTCTGGCTGCTGGGCTGGGGTCAGCATGCAGTAAGATTTAACGTCACTTTGGGTTCTTGGCTAGCTATTTGTTTGATGGTAAATGGTAATGGGCTCGTTCATATATAGGGTATCCACTCAGCGTGCAGATAACTTGTAACACAAGTAATGACTTTAATGTAACCGTAATATAATTACTGAATTTAGTGCAGTAACACATTACTTTGGGATGTGTTGGACCCAGCACTGCTCGATGGCAGGCTTTAATCTCAAATTCAAATTCAAATTCAAATTCAAATTCAAATTCAAATTCAAATTTTATTTGTCACGTACACAGTCATACACAGTACGATATGTAGTGAAATGCTTGGACAACTGCTCGTGACCTAAAGAAAACAAAAAAGGAAAGGCTATGAATAAGATAGGAAATAAATATGAAAAATTAAAAAGGGGTAAATTTAACTAGGAAGGAATAAAATATAAATTAAGGTTAAAAATGAAATAACTGCACAACACAAATTAGAATGAAGGGTAAATTTAACTGGGAAGAATAAGATAAAATATATAAATTAAAGTTGAAAATAAAATAACTGTACAACAAAATACACAATACAGAACTATATAAGAATGTATGAAGAAATCTAAATATAAATAAATATATACACAATAACAGCAGCTGTACAAGTATTAACCGGAAATGAAGAATATAGTGACCAGTGTTGTGCAAAAACAAAGTCCAGAAAGTCCAGTGTGTGTGTAAGAACTATATGTGTGGGTCAGTACTGTGTGGTGGTGTGATTGAGAGACCGTATCGCCTGCGGGAAGAAGCTCCTCCTCAGTCTCTCTGTGTTGGTCTTCAGGGAGCGGAATCGCTTTCCTGACCTCAACAGAGAGAACAGTCTGTTGTTGGGATGGCTGAGGTCCTTCACGATCTTCCTGGCCTTGGTCCAGCAATCTGTTTATTTGGGGGGGGGTTTTAACATTGGGGCTCTCACTTACAGGCATCCTCAGTCTATAAATAAGTGCTTCATAAGTGTGTATTTGAATGATGAAAAATAAAAGAGAATAAAAAGTACCATTTAACATTATGAAAGAAATAGCTGAACTGGAAAAACCTGACCTGCTGTTTGTCAGCCGCAGCTGGCACATGAAGCTGTTAATTGGATGATCAAATGTGGCATAATGTTTGAGGTAGATTGCTCAGGATCCTGGCAGGAAGGCTCCCATGAATATTAAGAAGCCTACCAATCTGCATCTTGAGCTGAATCAGCTGAGGAGGAGGATTCTGTTGCAATTTCACACATAATAATGTGTTGGGGCTCTTTGAAGTAGAAGCATTTACTACTTTTATCACCTGGTGACATGTGTCTCTTTCAAAATCAAGATTTTCTTTTAATGAAAATAAAATATATGCTTGCTTATTAACTTTTCCACAATTCCCCCTTCTCTACACTCTTGTCCTGTCCAGGTGTTTATGCCTTTGGTCTATTCACCACGACCATTTTCGCCAATGCCGGCCAGGTAGTGACAGGAAACCAGACGCCTCACTTCCTGTCTGCCTGCCGACCAAACTACACAGCATTAGGCTGCCAGTCCACGATGCAGTACATCACAGAGCGACGGGCCTGCACAGGCAACCCACTGATTGTCATGTCTGCACGTAAATCCTTCCCATCTAAGGATGCAGCACTCAGCGTCTACTCAGCAGTGTACACAGTGGTAGGTTGGACAAAACTGGAGGTGATATTGCTACTGTAAAGATTTAAGACTTAACGGGAGTTTCAGATGTGTTCTAGCAATTGAAGCCCACCTGCTGTCTTTACTGTGTTATTTCAGGCCCATGCCAAACTTTCTGTTTTTAGTGAACACCATTGCCACTAGATCTCAGATTAGGATGAAATCAAAGAAGACCATCACATATTAAAGAATGCAATCATTTGAAAAGGAAAGTTACATAGGGTCCTGTGGAAAACGGCAATAAAATGGCTTGTTGAATTGCTTTTAGCATCCATAACTTGAAATAAGTGTTTTCTTTTCTTCTTTAGGACTTTGCTTAAGTTCTTTGAGGTTTGTGGGCACTTATTTATGCACCACTCTGTTATAGTCCCGCTACAAGTTTTCACTTGGGTTGAGGTCTGGACTTTGACTCGGTCAAAGTCGAGTGCTCATCTATCTATCTATCTATCTATCTATCTATCTATCTATCTATCTATCTATCTATCTATCTATCTATCTATCTATCTATCTCTCTCTCTCTCTCTCTATCTCTATCTCTCACTCTCTCTCACTCTCTCTCTCTCACACGTGGCTGCACGGCACTAACGCGTTAAAGAGCTAACCACGGCCTTGCAGCCCCACGCACCAGGCTATCCGCGATAACTCGCTAATGGAGATTTGCCACTTTAATGCAGTTATGGAGTTAAGGTCATTTTAACTAGATTAACGCTGACAGCACTAATATAAATTTAACCTTTTTACCTTTTACCACTCACATTTAAGCAAAACAAGGATGTATGCAAGTAAACAGACCTTAACAAACACATTTGCAGAAATGCTGCCTTCAGTTAAAAAGGCACCACCTACCAATTATTTCAACACTGACTAGTTTGTTTCTACCAGTTTGTATTTGTCATTTGTAAACAATCATTACCACGCTGAACAAGAAATAACACTGGCTGTTATTTGATGTAATCAAGTGGATACTTATGCTGATTTCTGCCACCTCAAAAATTTGATTTGTGTTTAGCCTGAACAAAATTTCAGATTATATATTTCCTCCCTTTGTCGAGACAGTTAACAGGTACTTTAACTTTAAAGGTGGCATAATATGCTCACTTTTATCTCAGTATTTTTATTCTTGTAACTTATCCTATGCTATGCCACTTAGTGCAGTTCCTCAGTTCACCTGCTTTATGCTCCATTCCCTTTTAAGCTAACTTTCTTATGATTAGTTCCCCTTATGATTAGGTAAATGCTGTGTTTAATATGACCATCCACTAGTGTAGCTGAATATATAATGAGAGAAAGTAAGGACAAGCTACATAGGTCCACTTTAACCAACCAATTACAGGAAGAAAATCTCTTGTACGTCTTATTACCTGGTTTAAAATAGTGATGTATCTTATGCGCTTGCATGCTCTTTGTGGCTTTCTGTGTTTGTTGCACCCTACTGTGCGCTCCCTCCCTTATGCTTCTTTGCAGATGTACGTGACACTGGTGTTCAAAACCAAAGGCACGCGGCTCACCAAGCCCACTATCAGCCTCACGCTGCTTTGTCTCGCCATGCTAGTCGGTGTGGTCAGAGTGGCTGAGTACCGCAACCACTGGGCTGATGTCCTGGCGGGATTCTTCACTGGGGGAGCCATCGCTGTGTTTTTGGTGAGGAGAGAATAGAAGGAGCAGAGAGACAGGCAGACAAATAGATTAAAAAAGAAAGACATGTTCTCAGTTTTTTAAGCGCTCCATCTTTGCATGTAAAGACGAGCTTACTTGCCCCTGAGAGCACTGTGAAAACAGCTGTGTAATGTCTCATATGGTGATTTATTATCTTTCTTCATAATCTAAAACAATGTGTCTTAGAAAAATGTCCTGTTAGGTGCTTTTAATTATGAAAATGGGCTACATATCAATCAGATGATTAAGGACCACATTAATATCTCAACAGATTAAATGACATTCGGAAATAGGTTTACATGCAATTTTAATATGCTGCACCACAGTAGCAGAAGTCAAGCAACCATTTTTTAAACCACACCCCTTTTTGTTAATGTTACTATACCTGGCGAGCTTTACATTTTCATGGCATGAGTCATGCTTTGGTTGGTTCTAACTTTCCCACTATAGTATCTGGTTTTGTTTTGACCAATTGCTTTGGTCCACTATAACAGTTTCCCAATGCAAGTACCACAATAATAAATTACTCAAGACATTTTCTTTGCTTAACTGATAAAGAAATACTGAAAAATAACCTTAATCTGACTATGAAATCATTTTAAGTGAATTTCTAGGTTACTCCTTAAAATAACTGTAACATTTAAACAGGTAACAAAATGTTTTGTATAATTCATTGAATCAAAGTTGAGAGTCTCAATTTCAATTGTACACAGAGTGTTTCATTTCAAACCTATTATAGTGGCATAGAGACCCCAAATTATGAAAAATCATGTAACTGAAAGTTGCAGACCTAACAGTAGTTAGCGGTGCCTGATAATCATCATGAGCATGAATGCCATGGTAACTTTGGACTCCTAATTATTTCTTTGATATATTCTTTTTCTAGGATACTCTTTAATGACTTTAAAAAGCAAGAATTGGGTGCAAATGTTTGACTTTATTTTGGATTTTTTCTAATCTAATGTAATGCAATACAACCAGCAGCAAAACAACCCCAGATTATGATGCTACCTCAACCATGCCTGAGGCTTGGTGGAGTGTTCTTAGTAGGGGTGGGCGATATAAACGATATACGATAGAAACGATATAAATTTGGCCAACAATAGAGATTTTGACTATATAGCTCTATCGCGATAGCGCATGTTGATGATGTCATCAAGCTGCGCCTGTTTTGGTCGAAAGCATCCTGCTATGCGATTGCATTTGTCCCTAATCACCAGAATCCCTCACGTTAACTTTTATCGAGTGGAAAGAAAGTTGGCGTTCATCCTCCAGCTTCACTGTGCTAATGTTATGCTAACATAGCTGTGTCGCTAGCAATCACGTAGCACAACATTATATACCAGGTAGTCCAACTTAAGTAACCCTGCAAACGCCACTGCTGTTTAGTTTAGCTGAACATAAAACCTTTCTTCAGGAGTGTTAGGTTTTGCCATGTGGGCAGCAGCATGTCTCAGTTGAGCTTGACAGTGCCACCTTTGGAGCAGGGCCTTCTTTCTTGGTTAGCACTGTCTTAGTCCATGGCTGTGAAAAAACCCACATCACTTTGGACAGTGACACTGGTGTTCCAGCAGTTTCCAGGTCATGCCTTGGAACCTTGGTGGTTCCTTGGTTGTTCCTGAATATCCTAACACATTTCTTCTCAGCTGAGGGTGACAGTTGGGTTTTCTGGTGGGGAAAAATCCAAATAACTTGCATTTACATAGAAATGTTTGAACAGATGGTGCAGTTGTTGAGACCTTCCCAACTTGTGTAAATCTATAATTCTCATTCTTAGATTTTCACGTGGACTTTCCCATTCTGAGTATCGAGTAATCCAGAGAGTACTGTCAAATTCTTTTTATGTTGAGTTGAAAAGTTGTAGAACCAGTTGTAGTCAATCATGATCACTAATGAGAGGTTAATATGCCGTGACCATGTCAAGTTAAAAGACAAGAACCTTTCGTACCACATATTAGAAGATTTAAGTGAATGTATGTCGATATCTGAGTATGTTTGAGTACTTTTGACCCCGTGTGGATTGGAGAACAATATTTAAACTTGTGCATTAAAGATGTACACTGGAAAAAGAACAGTTCAAAGTTTTTATCCAAAGCCCAAAATAACTTTAACATTCATGCTCTTTGATAATTCGGTCCTTTTTTCCCCCAAAGCCCTTGTAAACCATTTTGCCACACAGGAAAATCCACTAAGCTGTTACTGAACAATCTGATTGGGTGTTGAATTTGACAAATGGTCAATTTCTCTCATGTGTCTCATTCTGGTCCCAGTTAACTCTTTATGTTGGTTTCTATCATCAGGTGACTTGTGTGATTAACAACTTCCAACAGCTGCAGCCCGGTCTTCCTCCACCGCGACCCCAACGTCCCGAGTCAATGCTGGGCATGCCGATGGTGACACTGCCCTCCGTGGAGAGTCCACTCGAAAAGTTAAGTGGCCCTCAGGTAAGGGGCGGGGGTGGGTGTGAGGCACAACTGTGCTCACAGAAGGGCTGAGATACACACCCCTTGTCTCTTAACTGAATCCGTGACCTTCCTTTTGTTCCTCAAAAAAGAACAAATTCAAACATGCATGCTCCAAGCCCACCCGCACGCCCAGTCCTAGCAAAACACCCAAGTGAATCCTTTAAATCTCTGCGCACGCGAGGCTTGTTGTACCCTGATAAGAACGCATGTGAGATTTGTTCTAGTGGTGTGAAATGAGCCACGGTTATGTTTCAGTCAGAGGATGGAACAAATTCTAGTGTGAATGTTTGCTTTGGAAAGAGGTGCTGCTTACTCCTAAAAATCCCACAGTGTCACAAATTTTCACGTTATCTGGTTTATAGAGAGAGCCACTTGTGTCTTTGAGGTGAATCAGCAGTTTGGCTGACACACTCCAAGTGTTATTTACCATTTGGATATAATGCAGAGCACTTGGCTGAAGGGAAACTGTGAAGTCAGCAGAGGCTAAAAGAAAATAGTCTTAGCTGTGGAAGCGATCCCCTCAAGTTATATCTGCTCTCCGAAAGCGCTGCATTTTCTAAAGCGATTCTCTCAGGGGTGAAGCATTTAGAAAAATATCGTGCGTCCTCTGTGGTCTCTCACTGTCGCTAACCCTCACCTGACTGCCTTGTTTTCCTCTGTCTCCCACCTTGCCTCTCTCCTTTCAATCTGCTCCCTTGTCCCTCACTCTCCTTCAGCATCTTGCACTCTCCTCCTCCTCCCCACCTTACAACACCTACGTCCAACCATTCTAACCAGCTTTGAATATTTTTTACCCAACGTTGTCACCCCCCCCCAACACTATCTCCACCATCTGTTGCCTTATTTCTGTTTTTTGCTCTGTTGAACATCTGTTCTGTCCTCCCCTCATCCCTGTACATTGCTCTTGATTATTCTTTTCTTCACTTTTCTCTCTCTTCCTCCGCCTCCTCTCTGCCCCGTCCTCCTCTCTCTTTCTCACTCCTCTCTTTCCCCTGCAGACTCCGCGGGGATCTCCGTTCACAGAGATCACATGACCATCAGCCCTATCGGTTCCCCGCCACCCCCGATGTCCTCATACCGTCTCGCTCCATTTCCAGCGAAGTCTAGACCAGTCGGAGCAGCACTCACCACAATGCGCCGCCCATCCGGCTGGGCGGTACGCAACATTGCACCGCTCCTATTCCACGCAGGT